ATGAGGATGCTGAGAAAAGATAATGTGTTTGAATTGCCACATGATGAAATTGGGAAGACTTTTTTTTTTCTAAATAAAGCAGAGACTCAGATGTAACTCAGAATGACATCCTAAAATCTGTCATCTGTCCATTTACCCAACCATCCGCCAATCCATCCAAATATGGGAACGAACAAAGTGCCTGTAGCATGCTCGCTGCCAGTTAGTAAAGTTTTGCTGCCTGTAGAAAGCCCACTTTGAGGTATTGAATCACCCCGTTTTCTTGCTACAAAATCCAGAGGGGGCCGGGATCGGTTCTACGGCCATCATTATGCCTAACTAGAAACAAAACCTCTGGGATCTACAGGTCCCGGAGGATGGGTGTTTTCCTTTTGGAAGATGCATGGTGGGTGTCAGGACTCAGGGTTTATAAACTCAGGTTTGTAACAGAAGATGCTAGCTGCTTGATGGTGGGAACTCAGAAAAGCAGAGTCAGGAGAACTGAAGACTTGGTACTTCCCTGGTTGTTCCCTGGATTATGTATCTTTGCAACCAGACTTTGGTTGACCTTCTGTAGCCACCCCCTCCCCCCACCCCCACCCCCCACCCCGTCTCCTTGTTATGTTTGTCCCCGGTGAACATGGATCTTACTTGTTGATAAAATTCTGCTCAGAGGTTTGTTTATTCCCTAGCCTTAAGTCTCACTGGTACTATTGATAGTCATAAAGCCAACTGCCCTTTAAAATAGGGATTTTGATCTTAGAGAGCTATCATTTAGTGAGCACTCACTATGTTCTCAGACATTAGGCTGAATACTCTCTGTGTTTTATCTTGCTTAATCCTTACAATGACTCTTCTGAGGTAGGAACCCATTCGACAGATGAAGGAGAGACCCAGAGATGTTAAGTGACTTTGCCCCAAGGTCACAAAGCTATTAAGTGGTGCAGCTTTGGTCAGCCAGGTCATTCTGATGTCAAAGTCCTTGATCTTAATCACTCTGCTCCCTCTGGGCTTTTAAAAGTGTGTTTGAATATTTGGGGGAATTTGCATTAAGGCATGAGTGTGAAAATCATTAACCAGGGATTAAGCATTAAAGAGAAGATACCCTTCTGCTTTCTTGATAATGGAAAAAAAGTTTTCTGGCACTTCCTAGGGAATCTAACAGTAACCCCACCCCCACCATTCATAAAATTTTTGAAAGTCAATCCCAAACAACGGTGTGTTTGAGCTGGCTCGTATTGGCTTACAAGAACTAGACCAGTGCATCTCTTCCCAATTCCAAGTTAGAGACATCACGTTGGTAGGTCTGAAATCAGCCACGGTTGGGAGTATTTACACCAGGGAAGTTGGCATGGCTACAAATGATGCCTCCCCCTCTGGAGAACTGGTTATTAAACATTTACTGGCATATCTCTGACCCCAAACTAAAATCGCCATCAGGACCAAAGGATTCACTAGAAAAAACACCAACAAATACTCTGACTTCCTGTGGGAGTCATTCCTGGACTGTATTTTTCAGTCAGGTCTGGCTCAGGTTCTGCTCTTAGAGAGTTGGACAGCCTCAGATCCCCGATGGACTTCTGCCCTGACATGTCATAACAGAACCCCCACAACTCTCGATGTCACCACTGGTCCTTTTTTACTGTAGACAACGTTTGTGGGTCACATTCTGGGCACATTTTCCAAAACCAATCCAAGGAAATAAAGACGGTCCTTTTTGTCTTCTCAATCCAAATTTGGCATTATGTTCTTTCCCCATTTTGGGAGAATGGGTACCCAAATGTCAGAGGTGAGATGCTGCTGCTGGTAGCTCACTCAGGGAGACAAAATGCTTTAGAGGTCCACTGGTTCAGGGGTCTTTTTCTTAGAAACTAGTTATCAACTGTGAAAAATATTAGATGTTGCATTGACCCATAAATTCTATTTCTCAGAATCTAGCCAACAGAAATATTTTCAACAGGGCACAAAAATGTACGTGCAACGATGTTCCATGCAGTATTATTTGAAATGGCAAAAACTAGGGAACAACCTTAGTGTCCATCAGTAGAGAAATGGTCATCTAAACTATGATCTATCTATACCATGGAATGCTCAAGTATTTAAAGAATATAGAATGTTAGAAGAATATGGAACCTTAATATGTACCATTCCAGGGAGGAAGAAATTTTCCTTCTAGGTTCTTTTGGCTGGTCTAAGAGTTAAACTGACATGAGCTAGATTAACAGGAGAAAATCAAGTAAAAGTTTAATAAAATATATACATGGGAAAGACCCAGGAAAACTGGGTAACTCTCCAAAATGGCCAAAGCCCTCACTTTAAATACTATGTTAAGCTAAAGACAAAAGAAAAAGTTTTGGGTAGTGTTTTGGGATTTCAAAGGAGACGAAGACAATTCACATGGAGATGGGAAAATTTGGTAAATGTTTAGTAAACTAATATTACCTGGGCCAGGTAGAGACAATGGGACACAGAGCAGACTCTGATCTCTAGACCCTGGAGTTTGCCCACCACACCTAGCCCAATATTCTTTGCAGATTATCTCTGGTGATAGCTCTATTCCCAGAACAGGCCCTCTGTCTAAATTCTTTGAGGCAGTTAAGGAGAAAGTCAAGTCAAGAGCTGAGCCTTTTGGGCCTACAGTTTTTAGCTCAAAATAATCCATATTTTGATTATTTTGGGGTGGAAAATTTTGCTTCCATTATGGAAAGATGTCCGTAAGACTTTGTAGGGGGTGGAGGTGGGGGTAGGGAATCATATCCAGAACAATACACAGAGTATGATCTTATTTCTGTAAAATAAAAAAAAAATGTATGTCTGTGTGGCATTAGAAAGGTCTGGAAAAAAAAAAAAAAGGAAAGATTTGGAAGGAGGAAGAACCTATCTCAGATCTTTAAAAGGATTTCCTCTAGAGGGCAGTGAATTTGGGGTAGGGTGGACCATAAAGGCTTTCATACTTTATATACTTCTGAATTTTTCACAAATTTTTAATAGGGATAAAACATATTCATTCATTACTTGAGCAGTTTTGTTTTAAAGAAAAATACTGTGTGGCAAATGTTTTAAGGTGGTGGTTTTCATGCAAATTCTGTGAGCTACAAAGATATTTCGGAAATAATGGGAATGCCTTGGTGGGGGTAGAACTGAATTGCTTTCCCAGGTCCTCTTAATATCCTGCTTCATGTAGAAGCTCCATTTTGAATTTTTTTTTTTACATTATTGGGGGTTTCTATTATAAAAGCAGGGTTTCTGCTGCTTAAAAAAATAAAGGTTATAAAATACCACATCAAGAGAAAGTGCAGCTTTAAATTCATCCCAATCAAATACATGGGATCAATTGGAGTTACAGGTCTATCAACAGATGAATTTGAGATTGTTTTATCCAGGCTCTGGTACAAGAGATGAGCCAAGTTTGAGAGGGTGATGGGGAGGAGGTGGGGTTTTGGGAGACGGGTGGTAAAGATAATGCCTTCAGGGGGATGGGACTATTTAAGATTCAGGATTTTAGAAGTGAAAGAGGACAGTTTATACAATGGAATACTACTCAGCCATACAAAGGAATAAAATAGTGCCATTTGCAGCAACATGGATGGACCTAGGGATCGTCACTGCAAGTGAAGTAAGCGAGAAAGAGAAAGGAAAATCCATATGATATTATTCGTATGTGGAATTTTTTAAAAAAAGGAAAAAAAGGACATTACGAATTCATCTACAAAACAGAAACAGACTCACAGACATAGTAAACAATCTTATGGTTACCGGGGAAAGGGGGTGGGAAGGGATAAATTTGGGAGTTTGAGATTTGTGAAAGCTAGTCACCATATATAAAAATAGATTTTAAAAAAAGTTTCTTCCGTATAGCACAGGGAACTATATTTAATATCCTGTAATAACCTTTAATGAAAAAGAATATGAAAACAAATATATGTATGCATATGCATGGCTGGGACACTGAGTTGACACACTGTAACTGACTATACTTCAATTGAAAAAAAAAAAAGAGGATTGAATTCACCTGGAAACCAGGGCTGTGAGAGGGGCAGAGATCAGTGTATTATAGGGGTTGGGGGTGGGGATGATAGCATTGGGTGAAGGGGAACTTTATTTAACTCAGTCTAGGATTTTTACAGAACCAGCCAGTGTTCTTTAGCTTTTCTGTCCATTTCTTGCAGACAACGTGACTCTCCTTAAGGAAACAATGCCTTTACACGCCTGCCTCTTGCTTGTTCCACCTTGTGTGTGCAATGCAGTTCCTGCGACAGTGGCCTCGAGGCTTTTGATGGGTCCTCCCCTCTGGTGGGTGATACACCTAACACTTTTCTTGGCCTAGACAGCAGGTCCTGGAGCTTCTGCCTTAGCAAACGCAGCTACTCCTGGGACCTGAACACAGGTACTCCCTTGGACCCAAGTGGAGAAATAACTAACTATCTA